GCCGAGGGGCGGCCGGGGACGTGACATCATCGGGGGAGGAGCGGCCGGGCTCGGGCTGCCGCGGCTGGCGGACCCTGCGAGCCGGTGGCCGGGCCAGGGGTGGTGGCCTCTGGAGGCCGCGGCAGGGAGCGGGCCAGACCGGCGCGGGCAGGGAAGCCGAGGCAGGACAGATCTGAGGCTGCACAGCGTGGGAACCAGCAGAGGCCGGGGGCACGTCGCTACGCGCGGAAGAACCTACACAGTCTGCCAGTCCCCGCAGGACTAAGCCCGAGTATCTCCGCGGCCTCCTCTCTAGTCCCGAGTACGCGGTTGTCTGCGCGCTAGACGCTCGGCACCTGGACTTGCTGCTCATTTTGACGCCTTTTGGCTTTCCTTTTGATTTACACCCTCTGGAGCTGTCTTGACTGCGCTTTCCCCGCGAGGCTGACCTCAGTTTAACCTTTGCCAGCCAAGGACTCAAATATTTCGCAGTTAGGGATACCAGATCAACCGAGCGGGTTTCTGCCCCTCCATCCCCTCCGGTCTCAGGGTTGCCTGAGCTGAAAGCAGTGCATTTCAGCAACCCCTTGAGAGCTGATGGCACATTGAACATTGGTGCGCAGAGCCCAGCGTCCCCTCATCCCAGCCACCTCCACTCAGACTCCTCTTTACTGGCACACAAGACACCTGGCCCTTGGCCCTGGGGTCAGGGAGTTTCTACTCTTCTCCCCATCTTCTGGCCTGGTGCTTCCTGCCTGGGCTGTGAAGGAGCCCAGCTGAATCAGACCAGCACTTTTCTGACGGGGCTGCAGTGGGTAGCTGCAGTTACTCTTCAGCCTAAAGGTCTTAGGGGGGCACTGTTGTGCCTCCTGCCGTCCGGAGGTGCTTCCTCATCTCCTGGCCTCTTTCCTGTCTCTTCCTTGTGTTCTCTCCATGGCCACTTCCACCAAGACTTCTCAAGGCGGCAGCTGTTATCCTAGGTGGGTATTGCCATGGAACAAGGTGTTTGTTTTGAGACAAGGTATCTTTATGTAGTGCAGGCTAGTCTTAAATTTGTTTACATAGCTCAAGCTGGCTGAGAAGTGACAGTCCTGGGATGACAGGCACGAACCACTGTACTTGGCCATAAGATGAGTTCTTATCCCAATCCCTATTGCTATCTTTTTAGATGGCATATTGACCTTACCTGGGAGCTTGTTAGAAATTCAGAATTTTAGGCGATATCGAGAGCCACCACTTTAGAATCTGCACTGGAACAAGATCTGAGGTGACCTGTGTGCATCATCTGCTTATGAAGCTGGGCTAGAAAACTTGCCAATGCTGTTCCTTACTTCCCACCCAACTCACCCCAACCTTCTTACGTAATTTCCAGAAAGGACCCCCCCTTGGTGGAGAGGACACATAGGCCTCAGCAGAAGCATGCTGGGTCTCCCAGTGGTTTCTGCTCTTCCTTCTCCCAGCATTTTTCTCTGATTCCATCAGTGGTTGTGAGACCTCTTTCTCATCCCATCTTCTGCCCTTCCAGAGAGTTACCCATACACCACCTGTTGCATCCTGATCTTTTTTCTCTGATCCCCTATTTCTCTCCCCCCATGTATGGAACACTCAGGACCTGGTGCTTGCCAGGTAGGAGCTTATGCCACTGCACTATATCCCCAGCCCTAAATTTATGTATTTGATACAGGGTCTCACTATGCAGCGCACACACCTACAGGACCAGGGATCAAACCTGGTCCTTGCACTTGCCAGGCAGGCGCTTAGACTGCTGAGCTATCCCTGCAGCACTGTGGGGTCTTGAGGGGTGGTGATGATAGGACAGGCAGGGGACCATTAGTCCAAGAGTGCAGAAAATGCTTCTCCTTTCTGGCTGAAGCAGGGGTTTACCCCCAAAGCCCCAGGCAAGAGCCTCTGAACTCAGCTTTCCCCTTCATGGACTCTGCTCTTACTCGTGGAAGGGTGCTTGTCTGTGTGCAGAGCTAACAGTAAGCAAATTCTGGGCTGTGCACTTAGGGAGCTCATAGTGTGGCTGCAGTGCTCATGAGGGCATTGTTAGATTTGTGAATACTCAGTGTTACTCCAGAGTGACCTGGGCTTTACAGAAGCAGGGGCAGGTATGGGACCCATGCAGAAGAATGGCCTGAGCTTGAGTAGGAACCAAGAATGTCTAGGACAGAAGTCAGCTCTCAGTCTGCTTAGGCAGAGTGCAGTGGCCAGGCTTGGAGCCTGTGTTGACCCTACCCCTAGCGCTCGCTGAGATGGTGATTATGAGACTGGGCAGGTGGCACAGGCCTGTAATCCCAGCACTTGGGAGGCTGAAAACGGGAGAATCACTATGAGTCAGATCTATGTAGTGAAACCCTGTAGGCCCTGTACAAAATACAAAAGAAAAGAAAAAAAAAAAAGGAACTCTTGTCAGGCGTGGTGGTGCCTACCTGTAAGCCCAGCACTTTGGAGGCTGAGGCAAGAAGATCATTGTGAGTTCAAAGCCAGCCTGGGCTACATAAGTGAGACCCTGTCTCAAAAACAGAAAGAAAAAAGAAAACAAAAAGAAACACCCTACTCCCACCCCCACAGGTGCAAACTGCAGAAAATGTATCCGATGTGAGCTATTAGGTCGAGGACTGCTTGGGCAGGCTGTGCATTATGCTGTAGCGCCCCCTGGAGGCCTTCAGTGGCAGGCGGGCGTTTGGCTCCACTCCCTAAGTCCCCTGATGGCAATTAAAGTGTTAATGGGAAAATGGAAGCATGCCTTAAGTATGGCTACTGTGTAGTTCCACGAAGAGAACAAAAAAAGGCAAGAGCCATTCCAGAAAGTTGCCTGAAAGGTGTGCTTCCGGCTTTCAACCTTCCTTTTTATTTACTCCTTCAGTAATTTCAGGAAAACCCCACACAGGCGTTAGTCTTGCCTTAGGATCCATCCTGAACACAGGTGGTAGGCTGAGTCACTCACTTTTGAATAGTAGCATACTAGGAGCCACAGTGGTGGGCCTTTTGGCAAGAAAGTTGAGTTCACATCTTCCAGCTTCTTGTCTGCAGCAAGGCTGAACGTGTTCCTTCATTATTCCGGGTTTCCACAGCTTGCCAATTGCAAACTGTCTCAAATGACAACCAGTCTTAGCCCCCACTAAGGAAGAGGAAGGAACCATTTCTCCTCGCATCAAGATATTTTCAACCTCATGCTGGTGTGCAGAGCCTGTTGTCCCTTTCCGTGCACCTTCCAACTTGCAGAGAGGCTCCAGGGCCCACACCTCTCTAAATTCACATAGATCCAGCACCCAGCACTACCTCTGGGTGGGTGTCATGAGCTAAGGCAACAGGACAGACAGCCATGCTCCTGAAGAGGAGGGCAGAATGGGGTGAGTGGGAAGTGACTGCTCTCCCCTTTGTTCTGATGTGGTTGGGAGAGGACCTGGCATTCTCTACAAAGGTTTGTCTTTAGGATCTTGTCTCCACAGGCTCCTTCCAAGGTCCCCTGAAAGTTCCTCATGACAGGTTTCCATGGGTCTGGTGGCAGTATACCTGTAATCCTAGCACTCCAGAAGCTGAGTCAGGAGGAACACCTCAAGTTCAAGTCCTGCATTGTCTGTGTAACAGTCTCAAAGAAAAAACAAACAAACAAAACCCCACAAAAACAAAAACATTCCATGGCCATACATAATTTTTAAAAAATTATTTATTTGGTACAGGGTCTCCCTATGCAGTTCAGACTTGTAGTGATTCTCTTGTCTCAGTCTCCCCGGTGCTGGAATTACAGGCGTGTACTACCACGCCCTGTTTTAGTGTCCTAAATTGTATGCCTGGGTTTCTGGGGCCTGCACAGAATGGGGTGCTGGGGATCGAACCCAGGTCCTTGCACTTAACAGACAGGAGCTTAGACTGCCAAGTTATTTCCACCCTTGCCATATATAATTTTGGGGATTTTTTTAGATAGATAGATAGATAGATAGATAGATAGATAGATAGATAGATAGGATCTCATTCTGTAATTCAGACTGGCCTTGAACTCACTTTGTAGGCCAGGTTGGCTTTGAACCTGTAATGATTCTCTTGCCTCAGTCACTTGAGTGCTGAATTACAGGCATGGGATATTATGCTCAGCTTAATAGTTATGTACTCATTATCTGTTCTTTTTTTTTTTTTTTTTCCAACTGAGTTAAGTCTTTTTATTCTTTTGGTAATCTCTTCCAGGGTTAACTACTTCCATTGTAGGTGATGAAATATGTAAGGCTCCACTTCAAATGTTGGCACTGCTATGAACATAGTCTCTTTCCCATCTCTACAACTCAGAATTAAAACTTTGATTCTTGTCTTATATTCCAGCCTCAGAAGTAGTTCCACTGCAGAAGTTATTTAAAGACAGTCTTATGCTTTTTAGCAGTGGTCTCTGACCAGGTTCTATCTTCTCCGTGAACACTACCAATGGACTTAGTATAGGTATGTATTAAACTAAGAGGCATTCTCTCAAATGAGTTTAAATGCACTTTATTTTTAGACAACCTACATGACAATGACATGGGGGTTTTTCCCCTAAAAAAGATACCTTCTCTCCAAATAAATCATGGTCAAAATAAATGAAGCGTTCAAGATTATATCAGTCCCATTTGTCTAAATCCTGGTGTGTAGATGACGAAGAGCAGCCAGTTAAGACAAGTGATAGATCCAGGTTTATCAATGAATCCTTTAACATTTTTCCATTTCTAAACCATCCTTAAAATCATAAATGGGGTCACACCATCCTCATAGTAGTCCAGGAGAGCAACCATGCCATCTGGATTCATGTTTGCAACAATTAAGAACTGATAGTTTTTTAAATTAGCAAAGATGTGCTTGATTTGCTCTGCAGCCCCGGTCATAAACAGTTTTACTCTTTCTGGTCTTTGTTCTTCAAGGTTGCCTTTGATTGATTTCATATAATCTTTGATGTACTTCTTGTAGGCCTCTTGTGAAGCTGGTTTCCTGCAAGTGATGGTTCATGACGATATCTACACCGGTGACTGCTGTGCTTTCAAGTGCCTTCGCCCTCTGTGCCTTCAGCGGAGGCATTGCCACCAATGAGCACATCGTCAATGGCACTCCCTGTTCTACTGACCATCTCTAGGCATGGCCCATCTGTGATCTCCTGGATCTTGTAAATGTTGGAGAACATCTCATCGTGGCTGATGAGGTCCCAGTAGATAATCATGATGGTGGCTGAAGGAGGTGGCGGCCGGGCAAGCTTAGCAGGAGCGAGGAGCGAGGAGCAAGCTCGGTGCAGCCGGAGTGGCACTCGGGGGGAAGGGGGGAGCAAGCAGAAAAGCTCATCATCTATTCTTAAGGACCTGGTCACTGTAGTGTACAGGCTTCAGGTCCCCCAAAACCTGTATTTTCTAGTGGGGCTTGAGGTTCAGTAGGAACAGTCCAGGTAAGATAAAATAAAGACCCAAATTGTAGCAGGCCCGGTGAGATTTGTCACTAGTAGCTTTTGCAGGTGAAGAATCTTTTTGGGCAGGGAGTGGGGGGGAGGGAGATAGCTCAGTAGAATAACCACTTGCCTAGCAAGCACAGGGGCCTGAGTTCAATCCCTGGTTTCGCAAAAAAAAGAATCTTTGTTTGTTTGTTTTCTATATCCATAATGCTCAGAACAGTTTCTGGCGCACAAACATTTGTGGGATGCAGAAGACAGGAAGTCAGGACTGATTGGGCATGTGGGGAACCTGGGGAAGAGCTCATCAGAGGAAGGACTCAGCAAACCTACCTCCTGTCACCTGACCCTAACCTGGCTGCCCTCCCACCCAGCCCCTTGCCCCGGGAGAGTTGGCATGCAGACACCTTCCCCTTAGCCTTCAAGGTCATTCGGCTAGTGCAGCGGGGTGCGTGGGAGGTGTCCCCTATTAAAGGGACCCAATTAACGCAGTGACCACAGAATGAAATTCTCCACAATATGTCGTAGTCACTCAGTAGTGCTATGTTTTTCTGAGGAGATAACAATATTGAAAATAAATAAATAAATAAAGGGACCCAAGACTTGGGGTCTGGAGACCCAACCTGAGTGGGCAGATCACCTAGAATTCTCAGCTTCAGTTGCTTCACAGCTGAATCTGGAGTGCTGGGCTGTGGTGTTAAGTGCTTAATGCAGCCTCTCAAGTCAGCCCCGCATGTAGCATTTGCTGATTTTCATGGTGAGCAAGTTCCTTTCCATGGCTGCGTTCAAAGCACTGGTGTGATTTTCGAAGGTGAGAAGAGTTGTTGCCCAAGAGGCTTTCTAGAGTTTGCAGTCTGACTTCAGCACACAACACAGTGGTGTGTGGGTCCCGATGACTGGCATCTCCCGCTTTTTAAACAAGTGGTAGATGAGAAGGCCCCAGATCCTGTGACAGACTGTAATGTGAACAGATTATTAGCTGGCAAGGTCTTCATTGCATGTGGATGAATTATATGTGGGTGATTAGCTTGACCCAATTCCCATCTTTCTCATTTCTTAAGTTTAAAAAATTTTCTGGGCGTGGTGGTATGTTCCTGTAACTCGTAACTCTGGGAGACTGAGAGAGGAAGACTGCATGTTTAAACCCAACAAGGGCAATTCAGCAAGTTAGTGAGACCCTGTCTAAAACATTAAAATATCAAAAAGGGTCCAGGAATACAGCTGAGCTCAAAGCTTCTAGGTTCAATCTTCAATACCAAATTTTTTAAAAACAAAAATTGCATTTAATTTTATTTATTTATTTATTTATTTATTGGCACCTGGAATCAGACTCGGGACTTTGTGCTTGCTAGGCAGGCACTGTACCGCTGAGCTGTATCTCTGACACATTAAATTTGCTTTCTATACATTGTGATGTAGCCTACAGCCATGCCATAATAAATTCACATGATTTCATGCATGTCTTGGTGACTTTCTGCACATGTATACACTCATATATCCAGCGTTCAGATTAAAGTTTGAGATATCTGCATCATCCCCATACGTCTCAGGTCTCCTTGCCTGAGAAATAACTCCTCTCCTGATTCCTCACTCCCTAAATTAATGTATCCTATTCTTGAAGCTCATATAAATGACATTTTGCATTATGTAGTTATCTGTCTCTTACATCACTCTCTAGTTAACAGTGTTGTGTGTAGGAGTAATTTATTTTAAAAATGAAAAAAATATATTTATTTGGTATAGGGTCTTACTATGCAGCTCAGACTTGTCCTCTCTAGTCCCCGCCTCCCCAGTGCTAGGGTTACAGGCCTGTGCCACCACACCTGGTTTTGTGCGCCCACGGTTCTGGGGCCAGGCACAGCATGTGGTACTGGGAAACCAAACCTGGGTCCTTGTGCTTGCCAGGCAGGTGCTTAGACCACCAAGCTATCTTCCCAGCCCAGGAGTAATTTATTTTATTTATTTATTTATCTGGAATCGGGGATTGAACTCAGGATCTTGTGCTTGCCAGGGAAACCCTTATTCCACTGAGCCATCTCCCCAGCCCCAGTAATTTATTTTTATTTTACTTCTTGTATTTTGTGCAGGGCCTCACTATGTAGTTCAGACTCGTAGTGATCCTCCTATTATCAGCCTCCCCAGCACTGGGATTACAAGCACGCCCCACCAGGCCCAGACTCATCACTGGCTCAGTGTGCCCAGGGGTGGGGCTGGCATGGCATGTGGTGCCAGGGATCATATGTTCTTTTCTGTGTTGTATTCCTAGCACTGATTTTGCTTAATTTAATAAAAGTTTGTAATGTTTCCAATGTTTGTTTTTGTCACTCACCTCTGACTCTGTTGAGCCTCCTGGTTGGCCCCCCTGCCACATATTCAGCTCCAGATGCACTGTCACTCTTTGGCCACAACCCTTCCTCTACTATTTATTCACTTCTCACATTTGCCATAACTCTTCAGAATTCCTTCTGTAAGATCAGCCAACTTCTCCATATCCTCAACATGTCTTTTACAAATCTCTCTTATTTCCACTTATTTAGGTGATGCCAGATGTGGACTCCATGTTGTGTCCCCTTCACATTTGTGTGTTGAAGCCGAACCCCTGAATGGCTGTATTTGGAGATGGAGTTGGTGAGGAGGTGAGGAAGGTTAAATAAAGTCAGAGAATGGGGCCTCTGTGCTGAGTGTGGTGTCGAATGCCTGTAATCCCAGCATTCAGCTCTCAGGAGTGTGAGGCAGAAGGATCGTTTTGAGTTCAAGACACAGTGGAAAGGTGCCCAGCTGCAAGCCAGGAAGAGAGCCCTGAGGAAGCGCTCAGTCTGCTGCTACCTTGACTTTGGACTTCTCAGGCCTCACAACTTCAAAAGTCCATTTTCTTTGCTCATGCCACTCAGTCCATGTGGTTTGTTGGGATAATTCTAGAAGACTGAGGCAATATGTAGCAGTTATTCTTTTGTTCCCTTTCACCTCTATGTATGTAAAATTTTGCTTTACTTCTAAGCTAATGCACTATCTTATTGCTGACTCATAAATACTGGCAAAAGGCTTGATATTCCTGGATTTGAGACAAGGAACTTTATTTTTTTAGCACAGAACATAACTAAAGCACCGCCTTTGCATCAGCTCTTCTGGCCTCGCAAGCCCCACAAGAGCGATGTGGACGCTGTGCATACTGTGGACTTGCATCCAGCATGAAGGATGTGGGCAGAGAGCAGTCAGGACCTTGGATTCTGGGCTTGCCTACTCAAGCTGGCAAGGATAATCAGGGCCAAGGGTGCCTTGTCCTAACAACCAGCACTGAATATTTTTGGCTAAACTCAATACTCACATGACTATGCCACTCCATCCACCACTCCAATTAACCTGATCAACAGAGGCTGGGACCAAGTCCATTCAATTTGTTTCATGCAGAATTTAACTAAGGCTACTATCAAGAGAGCTTCCAGCAAGAAGAAGCCAATCTGCAGCATTAGTTTCAAATCATACCACCCAAGGCCTCTGGTTCTGTCACTTGTGAATGTCCCAAGGGGACCAGTAGATCGTATTTCAGAAAGGATATAGTCTATGGCCAGACTATTATCCATTACGACCCATACAAATGAGTTTCAGACTGATCTGATCTTTGAGGTCATTGCAATAATTATAGGAAGCAACAGATGAGCCATAAAGCAATGCACATCCCTAATGGAGAGACAGTCCATGGCTCACATGCACACGGACAACCCAGATGATCACATGTCACTCCAGTTTGGGATTTGTTGTCCAATCTGGTTTGGATCACCATCCCATGGGCTCAGCTAGTCACTGAGGGTATGTTATCAAGTAGCTGCAGATTTGGTCAGTGTATGTGAACCACTTGGCTGACAAGAAAAGTACATACGTTTGTGCCAGTCAGCCTGAGACAAGGTTGTGTTGAATGGCCTGTCTATACACGCATGGAGGAATAGGAATATTCAGAAACTGCTCTTGCTGGCTAGCAAAGGGCACAGCTGGCTTTGTCCATGTGAATTTCTGTCTTCATAGCATATTTGCAGCGTGATAAACCCAGAAGGGATCGGGTTGTCAGCCACAGCTGCTGCTGTACTCACAAGGGCCTTAGGGCAGTTCTGCTAGGTTGCAGTGCTGAATCTAGGGGACAGAGGACAAACTAATCACCCCTTTCTGTGCACCTTCCGGTGTATAGTGTCTTTTTTGCTAGCCCTCCATGGCTGCAAAAGGAGTGCATTCCACTCCAGGAACTAGAACGTCATCATTTCTCCACTCTTTTCCTGCTCATTCCTAGATCTGTTGTCTGAATTAGCCAGGCACAAGAGGGAAAGGGCACTTTTACAGAATGTACAGAGACTCATTACATCTACTGCCTTAGCTGGGGCGGGCCAGTTTTGGAAGACTTGGCAAGCAGTGTACTCACCTAGCTAAGGAGCTGCTCCCTTTATGATCTAGGAGTCTGTTAATCCATCAAAAGAATCTAGGCACTAAACCATAATTAGATTAGAATTAAGTTTGAATACCTTAGGCTCCTTTGCCAGGCTTGGGGTTTCTGGTGAAAAAACCTGCCCACTAAAAACAAAGCAAACAAAACAATAAAAAACGAGCACCATTTTCAGGAATAGTCAGATCCCAACTTTTCGTAATAGTTCTCTGTAACCTTCTATCTCTTTTGTCCTTATCATCACTCAGAATTACCTGGGAGGAGGTGATCCTTGTCTAGACTGCAGTGGTGGCTTCTACATCAGAAACACAGACTTCTCTACTTCAGGCCAGCCCATGATGGCACATGTGTTGCTTTGTCTGGTTTGCGGGTAGATCCAGGCAGTGGTGGTGATAATATGGGCAGGGAGGCCTGGACCAGCAGACAATTCCACTTGGTTTTATTACAGAAGGGCCCTCATTCTGGGCATCTCCAGCAGCATCCAGGCTGTGTGATTGGCCACTGAATTTGTTTCCACAATTTGTAGCTCCAGGGAGGAATGTCTAACCTGCCAGTCTTTCAAACAAGACAGCTGGGCCCCTGGCAGCATGAAAGAGTGGAAATACAGCAAGACTCATCAAGGCCCGTGTTGGCCACAATTGCCAACACTGCCTTGAGTTCTATCTACTGAGCAGAGCACATGTGTGTTTCTGATTCCATGTAGTTGGTACTAGTTTGAACCTGGACAACGTAAATCATCAGCTTAGCCAAACCACCAGTGTACCAGGCCAGGCAGTAGGGGACCTTCTGTGACTAAAGAGTCTCGCTGAACCAGCAGATTTACTTTAGGTGGAGAAATGAAGAATAAATTTCCTCTGAAGAGATTTCTGCTGCCGCTATTCCAGATAACATTAGGACTGGACCAACTGTGCCCCTGAAGTGTAGCATTTCCATCTGAATAGTAAGGCCTTTGTCCCCTTCGCTTAATAGCCAGAATCCAAGTTGACATACTTCTAAGTGGGATTGCCAGGTTGGAATGCTGTTTGATTTCTTTGGGTTAATAAATAAGATAGTAGGAAATACAATTAGTGGAGATTGAGCCTAGGGCCTTTGAACTGAGCTATGCCCCAGAACTTATTTTTAATTTTAAGACAGGTTTTCACTAACTCACTAAGTTGGCCAGGTTGGGTTTAAACTTATAGTCCTGATCACAGGTCTGCACCACCATATCCAACTGTTTTTGTTTTAAAAAAGGATGTCTGTCTCTGATCATCCCGCTGCTGTCAAGATGGCACTGCAGAAGACAAGGAGCCTAAGAGGTCAACCTGGAAGTTTAATGTGGACCTTACTCATCCAGTAGAAGATGGAAGTTTTGATTCTGGACATTTTGAACAGTTTCTGAGAGAGAAGGTTAAAGTCAATGGAAAAACTGGAAACCTTGGGAATGTTGTTCACATTGAACGGTTCAAGAATAAGATCACAGTTGTTTCTGAGAAACAGTTCTCCAAAAGATATTTGAAATATCTTACCAAGAAATATCTTAAAAAGAATAATCTTCGTGATTGGCTTTGTGTGGTTGCATCTGACAAAAAGACTTGTGAACTCCGATGCTTCCAGGTTAGTCACGAGGAAGACGGATCAGACTCACAGGGCTCTGCTTTTTCATAAAACAAATGAAGTATATGTGAGAAAGAATCATCCAGAAATGGGCTTTTAGTTTATTGAATGAAAACATTTCATTCTAAAAAAAAAAAAAAAAAAAAAAAAAAAAGATGTGCTTGGTGGCAAGTCCAGCAGGTGGCACTGTTGGACTTGAAAAGGGCCTGGAGTAATCTGCCTCGCTGAATCTTTAACGATCTGATTTTTTCTTTCTCCTCTTGAAAGTCTGTACTGTTTCTTCTGGACCATCCAAGAAAGTTCAGGAATACTCTTTATGTTAAGTTTGGCCTGTACATAATGTTGTGGTCACTTAGAGTGTGCTAATTCAGAGAAGCCCGACGGGGCCAGAGCCGGGTGTGTTGCACCTGTCATGTCACTGCGGAGTCTTGATTTCCGCCTGTCCAGCCTCCACGTTGGTGCAACTGAGAACATAAGGCTGGGTGAGATGATAGATGTCATCAGTTTCCCACGATTTGACCTAATAGCTTTGTGGAAGTTTATTTCAGATGGTTCCTGACTTACAATGTTGCTACTTACAACCTTTCAACTTTGCCATGGTAGAAGGCAAACCCGTCCACCTGTCCTGGCTTTCACTTCCAATAAGTTTCATGAGATACCCAGTACTTTATTGTCATAAAATAGGCTTTGTGATAGATGATTCTGTGCCACTGTGAATTAATGCATGTGTTCTGAGTGCATGTAAGGGAGGCCAGGCTAAGCCACGATGGCTAATAGGTTAGCTGTCAACTCAAAGGATTTTCAACTTAATGATATTTTCAATTTACAATGGATTTATTGGACTATAAATTCATCATAAGTTGAACTTCTGTACTTGATAAAGGTAGAATTTCTCACCGGGAGGAAAGATATGTTAATGATAACTCAGCCAATTAGCTGAACTTTTGGAGAAAAAAAGGTTTCATCTTTCACCTTTACAAAACTAAATTTCAGGTAAAGTAATGACCTATTCTGGGGCTGGGGAGATGGCTCAGTAGAATAAGTGCTTCCCTGGCAAGCACAAGGGCCTGAGTTCAATCCCCAGTTCCGAAAAAAAAAAAAAAAAAAAAAAGACCTACTATGATATATACACAAAGATAGTGTTAGAAAAAATATTTGAGAATAAACTTATTGTCTTAGGTAGAAGCTAAGAAACAAAAGCTTTGAGGGAAAAGGATTTGGTTGTATACGTATCATGAAATGAGCTCCAGGCACACGTGAGAGGAGTCATTTGGGGTACTGTGAAAGGGCTGGGGTGCCCTGCTCTTCTTGTCTCTCCCCCTGGTGATTGAAATGCCGGAATCAGAGAACGGTCTGGAGATGGAGGTTATGCCAGGTGGGCCAAAAGCTCACAGCCCTGTGCCTCTGACACTGGAATGCGGCCTTCCAGCCTTGGATCATGTGTTGCTCTTGTTTAGGTTGAGTGTTCTATGGTACCACTTGCAGCTGGCTCCAGGGTGGACGTACCAGCCTGGGAAACTGAGTTCAGCTCACTCAGTCTCGTAATGACCTCTCATATATCGGCAGATCACTCATTATTGTGGCGTCTGGTGCTAACTAGGGGAGGTTCCATAATAGTTAGAAGGGAAAAAAATCTTCCATGACTGGAGAGATTGGTGAAGGGACATTTCAAAGGTCCCAACCAGACATCCCATTATGAGGCCTTCGTGGAGACTGAAAGGCCAGGAGAACTTGCTGAGCTCACAGAACAAGAATGGCCTCCCTGGGCATAATAGCATATGCGTAGAGATTCCAGTACTCAGGAGGCTGAGGCGGGAGTGTCACTCTGAGTACAAAGCCAGCCTGGACTACAAAGCGAGACTCTATGTTAAAAAAAAAGGAAAAAAAAAAAAAGGTCTCATCTCTTTGGCCTGGGAATCTACATCTGTCCCCTTTATTGTGATGACAGATATCTAGTGTTATATCAGCAGAATTTTATAGTGTTAGACTGGGTTCCAAATTTAGGAATGGAAATAATGTTATCCTCAAGAAAATTAATATTTTCTAGAAGGAGACTGGAAAAACCTGGCACATTTTTTCTCATTCCCACTATATGGCATATACCAAGATGGCCCCCAAGAGCCCAGAGTGCTCCCGGTGGGCTCCTGTCTGGAGCCTGAGGGTGTGATACTCATCAGTGAATCTGCCAGTGAAGCACTCAGAGCTAAGTGTGATGGCGGGAGGCAAGCCTGCTTGGAGCCGGTGGGTCACGAGGCCAGGTCCATCCCTCCCTCACTCCTCCCTTGGTTTCACTCTCTTTTGCCTGCTATCATGAAACTGGTAAAGCTGAGGTCTACATGGATGGAGTAAAGGAGAGCTCAGCTGCTCTTCCTTCTCTGCTGTGCCCCTCTGCCATGCCACTCTGCATGGAGCCAGTGGATGATGGACCCAAACCTGTACAAACTATGCGCTAAAATAAACCTTTCTTCTTACAGTTGTGGATGTCAGGTATTGTAACTCATCAAAAAGAAACTAAGACCCCCACCCTAAATGACCTGAAGTAAATGAAAAAAAAAAAAAAAGAGTAATCTTCCACTTTTTCTTCAGTAGATGCCAATTAATCTCAATGATCAATTTGATTGTATTAAGAGACTGAGAGATGAGTGGATTTGAGCATGCTAAGTGGCTAACCTGTTGATGATCTCAGAGCTGAATGGGCTATGAAAAGGTGCAGCCTGGCTGGAGGCAGTGCATGGTGGGGGAATGACAACTACATGTGGTCCTTTCCTCTTGGACTCTTCCTTTGCTCTCTACTTTCTTTTTCTTTTTTAAATGAATTAGTACAGGGTCTACAGGGTCTCACTACACAGATCAGACTTGTAGTGATTCTCCTGTTTTCAGCCTTCCAAGTGCTGGGATTACAGGACTGTACCACCACACCATCTCAGTTGCCACTTCAGTGTGCCCCTGGGGTGGGGCCGGCATGGCAGGCTGGGGATTGAACCCCAACTGCATTCTCTCCCTTGTCCTGAAAGAACACCCAGCCACCTTTTAGGATTGATGAGATGTCAGACCGAGGGCTTAACTAGCAGTTTTTAAATTTTACTGTTCATCATGTGGAGGAGCCTTGTTTAAAATGTATTTTCTGGGCCTGGGGTGTATAGCTCAGGAGTAGAGTGTGTGTTTAACATTACCAAGTTCACAGGGAGATAGCTCAGCAGCATAAGCACCTGCCTAGCAAGCACAAGGTCCTGAGTTCAATCCCTGGTACCAAAAATAAATAAATAAATAAATAAATAAATAAAAATTTTACCAAGCCCATGAGGTTTCATGTCTCAGTGATCCTTCTGTTTCAGTCTCCTGAGTATTGGCAGTACTCAGATATGTGCCACCCTGTCTGGCCTAGGACCGCTATTTCTAAAACAAGGCACACAGGATTCCTGCTTAGCATAGGCTACAGCCCAGGGATATTGGGAAAAAAAAATTAACTCTTTTTTTTTTGTGTGTGTGTGGTACTGGGAATCGAACTCACAACTTATATCCCTGACCCAGGAAATGAGCTATATCTCTGGCCCAGGAAATAGTCTTTAAAGGCCTTCATTGTCTTTGGCTGAGATCTGATGTAGATTAACAATTTATCTTTCATAAATTTCTTTCCTAAGTTTCTTAAAATGATTAAGGCTCCTGAGCGAACATTGACCATGTAAAAACAAAGGAAGACATTTTGTACTTTCAAGATGACTTCTAAGAAAACTGCTGATAAAGCATCATGATCAACCACAGTTCCCGGAAAAACAGGAGTAAACTCCATGTACATAAAAAGATGCTCAGACTTACACTTAGTGCAGATGCCTTTGTGGCACTATCTGCCTCCTCCCTTGGAGGCAAATTATCCCTGTATCTAGTTTACCATGTACTCTACCTGTACTTCCGTATAGCCACCTGCGTGTTCTGAGTTATCTCATCAAAGGCATCAAAAAGGACCCCTCAGAGAGGTTTACAAGGCCTGGTTCCTCAAGCCACCAGAACCCTGCTTCCTGTTGACACTGGGATTTGGACTGAGCAAGTCTGAGATGGGACTGGAAAGCCTGAATTCTTAACAGGTTGTGCTGGTGCAGTTGGACAGATGATTCAAAGGTCATGGGAGCGCATGTTGGGGGAATTGCTCAGCAGTCCGAGTGCCTGCCTGGCAAGCACAAGGTCCCAAGTTCGAGCTCCAGTACCGCATGCCCAGCCAGCCCCAGAACCCCAGGTACAACGTGCTGGGCCTGGAATCCCAGGTGTGGTGGCGCATACCTTGTGTCATTTTGTTTTCATTCAGGTAAACAACATGACTAGAATCTTTAAAAATCTAGTTTGAAATTCATCTTTAATCTCACCTATTGTAAATAATTTCCAATATCAGTTGTGGGCTTTTCCTGAAGAGTTTGAGCCTGGGACAAACTATTAGAGAAATTGTCCATATCAACGAACAAGATCCTATAGGAAAAACAATGGAACTTAACACAGTGTAACTGGTAGGTCAGGACGAGAAAACAGGCAACCAGCTACCCGGTCCCACGCGCCGGGAGGTGTTCTAGTACTGCTCCTAGAGCCTGACATCCAAGTGTTCAGTCACTACTGGTTAAAAAAACAATAAAAAGCAAGAAACATAGACACAAATAATGGATATTAAGGAGATACCGGCAGGGTGTGGTGGCGCATGCCTGTCACGCCTCACTCTGGGCGCCTGAGGCAGGAAGCCCGCCAGGTTCAGCCCTGGCTGGGAGGGAGGGGACTGGGCTCAATCCCCAGTACTGTAAAGGGCCAGGGGGAGTCGGAGAGCAAGACTGAATGAACTACTCCTACGAACTGTTTTTCAAGCTCAGCTGATTTCTTCCTTTTCTTCCCTTTCTCCTCCCTCTCCCCTTCCTTCCTCCCTCCCTTTCTCTTCCTTTTTCGGTACCGGCAATCGAACTCGGGACCTCGCGCTCGCTTGCCACACAGGCGCCATGCCACTGAGCGACATTCCCGGACCCCGGGGATTTTCAACTCGAGTCCTTGTTGATAAAGTCACACATTCTCTTTTAATGTTATTTTGAAGTTTCAACATGTTAAGTACGGCGACTGAAAATAAAGCAATGACAAGGTGTCTCCGTGTTTCACCACCCCTAAACTGGAGAGAAGCCAGCCGGCAATCCGCGCAGGTAGCTGCGCTCAGACCTACAGCGCATCTACGCAGGCCAGAAGGAGGCGGGGCTGCGCTGGCTTATGACGTTAGTCCGGTGCGACTTCCTGCGTGGAACATGGCGTCTTGGAGTGGTGTCCGCTGGCTGACCCGAGTGAGGGCTGGGGATACGTTGGCCATGGGGCGGGCGGAGGAGCGGAGGATATTTTCCAGGGTTTCCTAAGAAGGACAAAGCATTGCGTTGTTGTGGTCTGAGAATCCCAGGTCTAATCTCGCTTGTGTCTTTGTCGCAGGCAGCTGTTGCCGCCCGGAACCCTGGGGCATGGAGAGGTCTGAGTATCTCGGCCCCTGCGAATGCGGCTTCTCAGGTACGCGCTAGGTCTAACTCTTATTTTCGCCCAAGCGCCTGTCGCGTTCTCGCGTCATCTTGCTTTCTTCCCACCCTCTTTCTACGGCCCTGCTTCCACGCCAGCTCTAGCTCGGCTGTCCCCATTCACAGGCTCAAGACGTGAGGGTGGAGGGCGCATTTCCTGTGACCATGCTGCCAGGAGACGGTGTGGGGCCGGAGCTCATGCATGCTGTCAAGGAGGTGTTCAAGGTGAATGGCCTGGGGTGACCCCTCAGGCTGCAGGGGAGCTCTGGTGATTTGGAAAGGACTTGCTCGACCTTGACTCTTTTTTGGGACCTGTCCCTGAAGGCTGCTTCTGTTCCGGTCGAGTTCCAGGAACACCACCTGAGTGAGGTGCAGAATATGGCCTCTGAGGAGAAGCTGGACCAGGTGCTGAACTCTATGAAGGAGAACAAAGTGGCCATAATTGGTATGTGTTCCACCTTGCCACCCTGCCCATATGTCATTATGTGTCATTTAAAATCAGATGAGCAATGTTCATTAAAGTTCTCTCTCCATATACGAATACATCAACTTTCTAGAGCTCCCACTGCTGATACTTGGCTGGCTGTTCGTTTTCATTGGAAACCCGTGAGTCATGCCAAGTATCAGCTGGCTGTGCAGGAAGGCTGCATAGTTTTGGTGTCTTGTTCTGAGGTGACATTGTTCATTAAATCTTGTTAAATGTGTTTCTAGAATGACCCTTCTAACTGCCCATTTTTCTATCTTGCTCTATTTACTGTCCTCGTAGATATTTTTGGCTTCCAGTTCTGCCCCTATTGTCTAAGTTCTTCATATCTTTCTTTAGAAAGATCAGTTTAGGGCTGGTGAGATGGCTCAGTGGTCTAAAGCACCTACTTAGAACAAGCTTAGCAACGCACATGGACCGCGGTTCAATCCCCCAGCCCCACATGCCAGCCAGCCCGCCCCACCCCCTGGTGGGCTTAGCAGGCCACACACACACACACACACACACACACACACACATAAATAAAAAAGAAAGAATGATCAGTTTAATGTTCCCAGGTCCATTTTTAGCACAGAAAATAAAGTTCTTAAGTTGGACGTCGGCTTTTCTGCCTTGGTTTCCACAGTATTTGTTCTGTGCTTTGATCACACTAGACCTGGTTAGTTTCCAAATATGTGTACTGCCTTGGGCTGGGGAGAGAGCTTAGCGGCATAAGCACCTGCCTGGTATGCACAAGGTCCTTAGTTCGATACCCAGGATCGTAAAAAAAAAAAGTCTTTAGCAGATATGTGTACTACCTTGACTTAATGCTATTTCCTCTGCCCAGAAGGTGTTCCCTTTGATACACGTGTCAGAATCTTCATTTACTCATGATACAGTAGGAGTTTCTTACGGCTACCATAGCAAACTACTACCATCTTGGTGGCTAAAATTAATCAAAATTTATTGTCTCAGTTCTAAAAGCCAGAAGTCTGAAATTAAGGTGATGGCAGAGCAACAGTTCTTCCAAAGGCTTAAGGGGAGAATCCTTTCTGCCTCTTCCTGATGTTCCTGAACTTGTAAATGAAGTTCTTGAGTCTTTCCCTTAATTTTCATATGGCTTTTCTTCTTTGTGTCTCTGTATCAGTATTTTTTTCTTTTTTTCTTTTTTAAATATATTGTGTACAGAGTCTTAAGGGATCTCACTAAACAGATCTGACTCATACTGATTCTCCTGTTTTCAGCCTCCCAAGTTCTGGAATTACAGGCGCATGCCACAACGCCCAGTATCACTCACTGTCTCAGGGCGCCCTGAGGGCAGGCCAACATGGTATGCTGGGGATTGAATCCTGGTCCCTGCGCCTGCCTAAGCAGGTGCTTTCTTCTGCTGAGCTATCTGACTGGCCCTTGTATTTATTCTTTCTTTCTGTTTTTCTTTCTGTCTTTTTGGTACCGGGATTGAACTCAGGACCCTGTGCTTGCCAGGCAAGCACTTACTCTACTGAGCCATCTCCCCCCGCCCCCACTTTGTTTTTGAGACAAGATTTTTTTTTTTCTTCAAAGTTTTATTGATAAACAGCAATGAGACAGTTTCAAATCAAATTGGAAATACAGTTTCAACAAATAATACACTGCATATATTCTTCTTAGTGGTTAATTGCTGTACAAGATGCGGACTTGTGATCCTATTTACAAACACCATTAGAACAAATCATTCTATTCATTAAGAGAATGCAACTATATATCTATCCCAACCACTTTGAATACACAGATACAAAATGGCCATTCATAGGTATACCCCATTTTTTCTAAGTTCCGTTATTGACTACTATAGGTGTGTAAACTCAGCAAAATATTCTAAAAGAGTCCAGTAGTCCATAATAGCATTGGGTCTTCTGTTTAACTGGCAATGTCAGAAATTATTGACCTGAGTCCCCCACAGCTCAACTTAACAGCATGGCTTTATTTCTTATATTTCGTCTTCATACTTTTCTACTGGATGGTTAAGACCAAGGTAAAGCAGGACCTATGCAACAAGGGTTGTAGCTTTTTGGTCTGAGAAGGTCAGTGAAATGCCCTCAGGATTTATTCTGAGATCCTGTACCTCAGATTGTAGAACCTTTATCAGTGCAGCCATGTGGATGAGTCACGGCCATTGCTTGGCCAATGTGCTCTCTGTGAAAGCCTGAGAGAGTGTCTTCTCCCCATGTGACTCTCCTTAGGCCCACTCTACGTCATCGATCACTTTCCTCTTTGCCCCCATAATCTTCTTGATCAGAAAATTTGGGACACTACCGAGGTACATGACGTTACAGTACAAGTTCTCATATGTCCTGAGTCTTAATTGACCTTAGAAGGCTAGGGCCAAAATGTTGGCTTTCCTTGTATCCCTCGTTTTTCTCTAATTTTGGTCTGCAAACTTAGGTTGTTAACCATCCAGAAGAAAAGCTTATTGTTATTATCAAACGATTTAGGCTATCAAGCTTAACCTCACTATCTCACTGCATTTCAAACATCTTAGGCATAAGAGGCAAGATCTTAATACTAAGTCCAGGCTGGTCTTGGACTCACTGGTTAGCCCAGGCTGGCCTCATATTTACAGCAATCTTCCTGCCTCCAGACCCAGCTCAAGAATCTTAATTATATTTACAAAGATCCTATTTCAACATAAAGTCACATTTACAGATTCTTGGGATTCAAGTGTGGACATACTTTTTTTTGAAACTTACTGTATGCACTTAACCTAAGGTCTTACTGAAACATCAGCTCTTCTGTGACATTATTACCAGAGAGGACTCCTTTGTGTACATCATCTCTGCATGTTGCTAATACTACTCCTGTGGCGTTTATTGCTTTTTATATTAGTTGTGTTCTCCCAACACATCGTTTGCTCCATGAGGGCAGGAGTTATATGGTTTTTGATTGATGCCTGTTACCCAGCATAGTCTGTTTTTCAGTAAATATTGGCTGAGAAAATGCCAAATAAGTGTACATAAAAATATCAAAGATCATAGATCACCTAGCATTGTTTGTCACTCTGCAATTAAATCCAGACTCTTACGTGATAAAAGTAAAAAAAGAGGTTAGCCTCTTCTTAGGTCACTTTGAAATTTCAACAAGATGGTAATTAAAAGTAAAGTAGTAAATGTTTCTTCTCTTTTTTCCTTTTTGAGACAGGGTCTCACTACACAGTTCAGGCTGGCCTTGGGCTCACTTTGTAGCCTAGGCTGGCCACAAATTTGTGCAGTCCTCTTGCTTCAGTCTCCTGAGTGCTGGGATTTACAGGTGTATGCTAACATACCTGCCTTTAAATATTTCTGATTTTATTTTATTATTTAAAAAATACTTCTGAGCTGGGGATATAACTTAGCAGCATAAGCAACTGCCTGGCAAGTGCAGGGTCCTAAGTTGATTCCTGGTGCCACAAAAAAAAAGGGGGCCACAAAAAACAAACCCTTCTGATTTTAATGTCTCTTACCCCTCACACTTAGAAGCAATTTACAGTCAGGTTTGGGAATGGGAGATGGGAACTTGGGTTGTATTATGTTCCTGGGGAATTGGACACTGAGCTCTGTCCTTGGGTTTGGCTTGTGCCTGCAGTGCTTCCCCTATTTTGTTTACACAGGAAAGATCCATACCCCAATGGAGTACAAGGGGGAACTAGCTTCCTATGATATGCGGCTAAGGTAAGTGTGTACAAGGGCTTAGCTCAGAGGAGTGCTGGGCAGCTGCCATAGAACTGATGTCTGTCCATTCTCAGGCGTAAGTTGGACTTGTTTGCCAACGTAGTCCATGTGAAGTCTCTTCCTGGGTATATGACTCGACACAACAATCTAGATCTGGTGATTATTCGAGAGCAGACAGAAGGGGAATACAGCTCTCTGGAGCATGAGGTAAGGCTCTGGAAGCTGGGGAGGTGAGTGTGGAGGCGAAGGAAAGATGCAGTTCCTCCTTGCCCTTCTCTCCATTGTCTCTCAGCTGCTTTCTCTCTCATCTAGAGTGCAAGGGGTGTGATTGAGTGCTTGAAGATTGTTACTCGAACCAAATCTCAGCGGATCGCAAAGTTTGCATTTGACTATGCCACTAAGAAGGGAAGGAGCAAGGTCACAGCTGTCCACAAGGCCAATATCATGTGAGGGGCATGGCTTTGCCTAGGATGAATTCCTGGGGAGGTAGCCCCCTTGCACTCTGCTGGCTGATTTTGTTCCTTTTGGCCCATGAACAGGAAACTTGGGGATGGGTTATTCCTCCAATGCTGTGAGGAAGTTGCTGAACTATACCCCAAAATCAAGTTTGAGACAATGATCATAGACAACTGCTGTATGCAGGTGAGACCATCCCCATGTCTCCACTGGCATGGTACTGAGGTGGAGTGGGAAATGGAATTCAACTGTCTTCTTTATTCCTACATCTCACCCCCCAGCTGGTGCAGAATCCTTACCAGTTTGATGTGCTCGTGATGCCTAATCTCTATGGGAACATTATTGATAATCTGGCTGCTGGCCTGGTTGGGGGAGCTGGTGTGGTCCCTGGTGAGAGCTACAGTGCAGAGTATGCAGTTTTTGAGACGGTGAGTGAGAGCATTTGCTCCCTCATCTGTGTCTCTCTGTGACCTCAAGTCTCCTGTTCCTCTCTCATCCCAATAATACTCTCTAATGATCCTCCCCCATCTCCACTCTTCTTGGTGACACTGGCCTACTGTCTACCATAATGCTTCTTCTGGAACCTTGACCTCTGCAGGTTTGTGCCTCCTTCCAGTGACTTCGGCCTTCTCTTTCCACAGGGTGCCCGACACCCATTTGCCCAGGCAGTGGGCAGGAATATAGCCAACCCCACAGCCATGCTGCTGTCAGCTTCCAACATGCTTCGGCATCTCAAGTAGGTTGAGAGGCTGGAGGTGGTGAGGAGAGTGCGGGTGGGGAACTCACAGTAGTGTCCTGAGGGCCTGACTCCCTTCCTGTGCCCATCAACAGTCTTGAGTATCACTCCAGCATGATTGCAGATGCAGTGAAGAAGGTGATCAAAGTTGGCAAGGTGAGTTTGGAAAGGTGCTGGGGTCAGAGCAGTGGCACAACACCCTGGTAAACCTGGAACGGGCCTCCATTCTTGCTAGGTCCCTAGAGTATCCGTCTATGACGTTCAGAGCCTTTTACCTCCCTCTTCTTGGCTGTTTCATCCTCTTGGTCTTTGCCTCTTTTTAGTTTCCATCTGCTATTCCTTATCTGCTCTATCCATTGCCCCGTTCATGGGCCATCTGAATGCAGAATGTGTAGCTGGGGTGGCACAGCGGGGCTTATAGGAGGCAGGGCGAGGTGCCAGCTTTACCTTCTCCGTGCCTGGGAGCCCATCTTCATTCCTTCTCCGTGCCTGGGAGCCCATCTTCATTGCCATTCCTCCCTCCTGGTCTTTTCATTTCGAGGTGACCTCAGCCTGATGTGCACTTCCCTGTCTCTCCCTTGTGCTCAGCCTCCTGTCCTGCCGTGGCTGCAGCACTGCAGTGGCTCAGGAGAGCAAGCTACTCCCTCACCTGCTGCCTCTTCCATCCCTGCTGCACAGCACCTTGGGGTCCCACGTCTGATCACATTGCCCTACCCTGCTTCATGGGCTCTCTTCTTTTTTCCCCCACGGCTGTTGCCGGTGGTGGCTGTAGGTGCGGACTCGAGACATGGGCGGCTACAGCACCACAACGGACTTCATCAAGTCTGTCATCGGCCATCTACACCCCCATGGGGTCTAGAACCCTTTATTCCCTCCAACCTCACAAGGACCATTACTATCTACACACCCATCCCTTCTGTTCAGTGGACCAGTGAAGAGACCTTGGCCTCTAGACAGTGGATCATAATTGCTTTCCTGGGCAGCGCCTAGGTCATCCCAAGGCTGGCTTCCTTAGGGAGCTGTGTATGTTGAGTGACGATGGTGGGTTATCAGGGATGGCACGTTGGCCACAGGATGATTGCCATTCTCCCCCACAGGTTCGGACCTCCGACATGGGTGGCTATGCTACTTGCCATGACTTCACTGAGGCTGTCATTGATGCCCTGTCCCACTCATAGGTCCTGCCCACACCTGTACAAGGTGTTCAATAAAGCATATGTACTGATTTTGTGGATTTGTTTTTATTGACTGGGATTTAGGGGAAGGGATGGGAAATGTCACCTTGGGGCACTCCCCAGGGAATGTCCATTCTAATCCTCCTGGGATGTTCTTTGAAGCTTTTTCTTTTTTTTCTTGATACTGCCCTTGCTGGCAACAGCCTCCTCAGGCCCACTACTGACTGGCTCGTCCTTTGAAGACAATTTTCTTTTTTTCTTGGGGATGCTTCTGGCTGCCTCTTCTGGTTCACTACCTGTTTCCTCCTGGGGTGAAGATTTCTTCTTCTTTTTGGGTGGATTTGGGCTACCACCAGCTGTCTCTTCCTGGTCACTACTAATCAACTCTTCCTTGGAAAAAGATTTCTTTTTCTTGGGTTTGGAAATAGAGACAGATGGACTATCCATTCCATTCTCCTGAGGAGCCTCCTCAAGTTTTTGTTTTTTTTTCTTTTTGGGTTTTTCTTGTATCTCCTAAAGGTGAAAAGAGGCATTGAGAGGCGTTATCTATGGTGTGTGCATGCATTTAAAGTATGCCCAGTGCTTTAACTTGGAAAGCCCACCCCCCAGTTACCCCCAATTAGAAAGTTAAGGAGAACATGTAAAGAAATTTCTTCAGCCCTCTAATCTACGCAAAAACCCTCCGTGCCGGTCATGATAGATCCATCGTGCCAAATTCCAAAGGAAAAAGTGAAGCCGTGTCACAAATGGCACTAAATGCCCCAGGGGAATAGTTCTAGTCTGGCATGTGGGAGACCTCCCTGCACCCATGCAAAACTGAAACCATACCAGTTCTGGACACACATCTGAGAACAAGCAGAGCAGGAATTTACACTACCCCTGTTGAGTCCTGGGAAGCAGTCGGAGGACAGAACAACTTCCCCAGGGAGCGGGTGTGTGCTATAACCAGCTCTTTGGGCTCTTGAGCAAGTTGTCTCAGCACCTATTTCCTTCCTATTAGAATCAAGAGGTAGTTTAGGTATTTCAATCCAAAACCTTGGATTCCAGACCACGGCTTGAGGCAGCACATCCCTCAGCTCTGCTGCTGAAAATCCTGTTTCCTAGGCCCTTGGGAGGGCTGGCTTGCTGAGACTGACCTCATGTTCCTCTGGCGTACTACTGTTCTCTGAAGATGCCAGAGCAGCCAGTGCAGCCAGCCGCTTCTTTTCCTTCTTCAAGCGTTTCTTTTCCTGTTTCTCTAGCTTCTTGGTGATTTCAGCAGCGGCTTCCTCTGCCTGGCCAAAAAAAGTGCTGAAAAGACCTGTAGCCCCCTAGCTCACAAGAGCCTCCCTTCCAGCTTTACTGGATCAGGCTCATTAAATCAGTTTTTTGCCTCCACTATGCAAGATCAGGTCAAGATAGTTCATCACCTCCAGCAGCCAAGTGTTTACCACCACCCAGCAAAGCCCACTGACCTGAACCATTGCCTCCTTCATAACATCCAGATTCTTCCGTGGAATCTCTCCGGTCTCATAGAAGGACAGGCGCTCCTCAACTTGTTCTCGAAGCTTCTCCCCAAACACACTGGTGGGTACCTCTGTACGTGTGTTATATTTATGTGTGGGAGAAAAGTCTGTCAGGCCCCAGAGTGATAGACTACCCATCAGGATTCTCTCTACCCTCAGCTTCACTCAGACCCAATGTATCAACACTCACTAGGAGAACTCTGTTGACGAAAAATGTTACCATCACTGTAGAAGCTGCTAAGGTAGCCAGCCCCCCTTTACCTCCCAGCCCTACCAACTGCCAACCCGCCCACCCATACCAGAGAAGCAATCAATTCTGGAGGCAATACTGCACTTGTTTGCCAGGTATCGGGAGATGCGACCTTTGTTCTTGGCAGCTGCTCGGCCAATGAAGGTGGAGTGGAAAATGAGTCCGTATTTTGGTGTGTTACCCCTTGTCTTCAGGGCTCTGAGAGAATATGTAGTGGAGAATTTAATTTTAATCCTATTAACCAAGGTAGCTGCTCCTCTTAAACCCTCCCCTCCCACATCTCTAACATGAGCCTCAAGCTAGGCTGGATCATCTAACCAACACATCAATCCATAACTACCAGAGGCAAACGGAAGGCATCCAATGTCGCTGACCTGGAAACTTCGTCCCTTTGCTGGGCCCTGGGAATCACTCAGACACCAGGACTGGCCATCACCCCCACCAGAGGTCTGCATGGGTCAGGGAGCCCTGATCAGCCATCACTGTGATTCCCAAATAAGTAGTGCGCACCACAAGTGGCACCTGATCTGGGCAGGTGCCCTCACGGGTACCTGAACAGGGCCTTTTCAGCCCCAAGGATCTGCACTGTGGATGCCGGGTACTTGGCCAGGTTGGTGAGACTGCCAGCATGAGCAATGAGACGTGCACCTACCTGGAAAAAGATCAAAGGAGTAGAGATTGCTGACCTGATCTGCACACCCCTGCTCTCCCCGTCACACCAAACTGGAGAAGATACTGTGGATCTACAAGTATAGCAGTGCAGATTGGCAACATTCACGTCCCCCAACTTGTGTTCCCCATGACGCACCGCTTCCCCAATTAGGGCTGACAGGCTAGGGGCTACTTGGCTCATCTTGGAGCGGAGGTAAGTGTGCAGGCTCTGGCGGTACTCTGACAATGACACCACACGACTGGAGAAGCTCTCGATGTTTATCAAGTCGATGGCAGATATGTCCATGCCTAGGAAACACCTAGTATGAAAAAAAGGAGCTAGACATTCAGAGTCCCATACCTTTTGCCAGCTGCCAGCCTCTGCACTGACCCATGGAGGACCGAGAGGCATCCAAGATAGCCTTAGCCTTGGCCCCATCCATCGTTAGCTCCTCCAGCTTCTCCAGTTTTTCCTCATTCAGCTCCCTTCGGTTTCCAATGAACTGAGCAAGGCGGCAGTATGTAGCATTGTCATTGATGATTTTGACCAGCTCTGGAAAGTGATACCCATACCATTCCCTACAAAAAGAAATAATCATTCTCTGACCCAGCTTCCACACCTCTAAACAACAAAGTCACAGCCTCAGCCCTTCCCATACCTATTTTGTCTAGAGATATCAGGAACAAGCCATTCAAATCTCCCTGAAGCCTGTTTCCCCATTCACAATACAGACAAGGCACAAGCCTGGGCTGAGGTGTATATGGGGCAAATTTACTCTTCCTCCCTTTTCTATACAGTCAGCATAAAACACTGCCTGTGGTAAGCACCAGGAGGCACTACTGCAGCCTACATGGCCCTAGCTATGGGAATGATTCAGTCTTGACCTCAGACCAAACACTGCACCTTACCTGACACGCATAGAAAAGGTATTGATGTCTTTGTCCAGCTGGTCGAGGAGGCTGATGGACTGGATGATCATGTTATCCACTCGGTTCACATTAAATTTAACTTTGGCACGAGAGTAGCTGTGTCCCAGTCCTAGCTGGGCTTTACAAGCTGACAGATCTGTCAGACCCTTAACCAGGTTGTGGAAGTGCAGACGAACTCCTAAGGGTAACACGACTGTTAGCAAGAGATCTGAGCTGGCTCCTGCACCCACAGGTAGGCCTTCCCAGAAGCAACCTCAAGGACCCCAGTAGGCCTTCAGAACCTGCTCTTGAAATTGTCAAAAAATTCAGGAGTATCTTACCTCGTAGGATCTCAGCTATCACACCTCCAGTCTGGCAGTTATATCCCAATTCCTCTTGTATAGCAGCACCAATCTTGGGGTCCCCAACTCCCAAGAGTACTTTCTTCTTTTTGGACGGCAAATGGGTCTCCAGGAGCAGACGGAGGTCCTCATGAACGATGCCTCAGGGAAAAGAACACAGCTCCCACTAACATACTGACTGCTTAAATTACAAAAGGATCTCATTTATCTCCTCAGTTTATACTAGTCCTTAGAGCCTGATGAGATGGCAGGCTTCAGGCTCTCCCCTTCAGGCATTGCTCAGAGACATAGAGACATCAGTGACATTCAGGGGATTGACAGATTTCACAAGTCATCACTGCAAAGCCTGGCTTGATGGGAGAAAATGAACTTAGGTCCAAAAGCACCGGTATAATAACATACAAAGGCTATAACCTATCCTTAAGTATTCAAAACCTGATTTGCCTTCTGGGACCAAGCCCCCTTTTCTTGGCCTTTATCAGAATAGCCCTTTCCAATAAATTGAAAGACAACAAAAAAACCCACGTACAATATTTGTGTAGACAAACTTGGACACAGCCCCTCCGGCCCACTTGGATTTATCATTATAACGCCAACAAGGAAATAAAACTTAAATGCTAGATTGTGTTCTATGTAACACTTCTCCATTCTTCTCAGTGAGCACCGTTTTAGATCTCATCCTGTAAATCTCAAATATTACCCCGCACACATCACATTCGTAACTTAAAAGCCAAATACTATTAAACCCCACTCAAAACTATTAGCAGAAACCTCGCCTAGTATCTCCCTGTGCACTCACCTTCAGACACTGCATTGGCATTTTCTAAGGCAACCTGGGAAGAGGAAAATGGACAAAAGGCCACCAGGCGAACGATGTTGTGGAACTTGCCTAGGTTGAGCACACACTCTTCCACCTGTAAGGAAAATGATAGACGTCTTCCTTCGTTTTAACATCTACAGCCAGTAAACGGTCCCGGCCTTCCTAAAATATGCCGATGCCTGAACCCCGTACCTCAAGCACAACTGTATTTCTACGCAGTATGGAAGGCATACCGCTCATCGCTCCTAAGCGTCTCTAACCGTGAATCAAGGTAAAGACCGCATGCTCCAGAGCCCTCCCAGCCTAGCCCCCCCCCCAGCGGCCGGCCACGTGGGAGCGCGCGGTGCATGCCGGGGCTCGGCAGCCCGGGGGCTGCAGTGGAGGCGAGCAAGCCCACCGATCTCACCCACCTGAGGCAGCAGCAGACTGATCTCCTCCACTTCCTTGAGCGCCAAAAGCGCATAGCCGACGGCGTGCTCGAAAAGCACGTGCAGCAGAACCTGGAACGAGAGCCGGGGTGCGCACGTCAGCGAGGATCCCAAGTTGGTCCGGCCCCGCTGAGAGCAGAACCCATCTCAGGGACCGGGTGGAACCCGAAGCTAGTCCTACACCACGGCCTTCGCATAGCCCACAACCCACACCCACTCCTCACCATGGCGTCAGCTCTTTGACCGGCTCGCAATGCGGATGGCAACCTCTGGCGCGCGGAAGCAGGCTCCGGAGGCCACGCCTTGTTCGGATTGACCAATCAGATGTCAGGGACGATACCATTGCTGGTCCTTCGGAGGAGGATTCTCCAGGTGGTATCGTCCGGAGGCGGGGGCGGGTAGCGCGGAGCGCGGGTTAGCTGGTCCTTTTGGGTTTCTGCGGCTGCGCGGGACGTCGCGATGGCTGGTATTTTTCTCCGTGTGGAAGCCGCAAAATGGCTCGGAAGAGCACTAGTTGAGCTAATCCTACCCCGTAATCTCATCGTATAAGTGATGGGTAGCAAAGCTCAATGCAGTCGGAGCGAGAGGTTGCACGTGGGCCGCCGCGGCTTTCCCGGACAGCGTCGCTGAAGCGGCGCTGGTGACCTCGGCCCAGACCCTCTGCGCCCCACACCGCGGACCTCTGCACCCCCTCTCGGGGACCACCCCCGGGAGCCTGGCGGGGGGCGCCATTTCTTTCCTGGACTGGAGCGAGGCCTGGAACGTTCTGGTGCCAGCCACCGCCCCCCCCCCTTTGATTCATTTACATTTTCTTTACTGCTTTTTTTAAAAAGCAAAAACAAGATGGTGGCAGGAAATAATGTAGAAAGACGATGCACGTCACTCTAGACCAATTTCTTGCTCTGCTTCACGCCACCTAGCTCCTTTTGCGCGACCACGTGTTGCTATCCCTCTGAAGTGGCCTTATATTCTCCAAAGCGAGTAGCTCAGAGGGAGTGGGAGCTGTTTCCCTTGCCTTCCGCCTTTCGCCTTTTGGCATTCAGGTGATGGTTTTAAAATTACTTTTGGCTTAAATAATTAATATTAGAGATAAAAGGTCCAAACTGGTTATTCTCCCACCCCCATAATTTTATTGAGAAAACCCTGGTTATTCTTAAAGGGTCTGTGCCTTGGTAGATTAATGTTTCTCAGGTTTTTATAAATTGAATTCTCATGACTATTAGCCAGGTTTATACTTCTTGTTTTCTTTGATACATGGTCTTTTTTTTTTTTTCTTTTGGTGAAATCGGAGATTGAACTCAGACCCTGTGTTTTCCAGGGAAACAGTTATTCTACTGAGCCACCTCCTTGGCCCTGAGACAGGGTCTTGATATGTAGCCCAGGCTGGCCTGGAACTCGAGGAGATCCTTCTGCCTCAGGCCCAGCTAGTATTTTTTTCTTAATCAAGTCAATGACTTGACAAAAATTTAAGTATCTCTCTCTCTCTCTCTCTCTCTCTCTCCCCACCTCTCTTCCCCTCTCTCCCCCTCCCCCTCCTTTCTTTCTTGGCTTTTGGAGACAGGGTCTCTGCGTACTTCAAGCCAGTACTTAACTCAATATGTGGCGGGGTGGCCTTGAACAACTGAACCTCCTGCCTCAACCTCCCAAGTGAGGGATCATAGGTATGCACCACCACCAAATCTCATAATCATAATCTCAGTGTTAGTGGGCACATTATTGTACCTGTCTACCTACGATCTTGAGTCTGAATTGTCTAAAATGCAGACAAAATTAACTTACTAGGGTTGGCCAGATAGCTCAGCAGATTAAAGTGCCTGTTAGGCAGGTGCAGGGACCCTGGACGATGAGCACCTGTAATCCCAGCACTTGGGAGGCTGAAAACAGGATCATTATGAGTCCAGTAGTGAGACCCTTTAGACCCTGTACTAAATACAAAAAAGGAAAAAAGAAAGAAAAGCAAACAAAATTAACTTAACTACAGGCTTTAGTTTGTCCTTAAACATTTAAAAACCAAATTTAAAGAATGATTACAAAATGTAATGGAAAATATCAATGCTATGATTTTGGTTTGCCTTATTATTTTTGTCTTTTTCAGACAAGGTCTTGCTATATAGCTCAGGTTGGCCTTGAGCTCATTTTGTAGCCCAGGCTGGACTCAAACACAATAATCCTCCTGCCTCAGCCTCCTAAGTGCTGGGATCATAGGTGTGTACCACACACCTGGATCTTTGTGGGGTGAGAAGTCAGAATCCTTTGATAGACTGCAAAATTAATTTAGTCCTTCATGGAAAGCATTTAAGAAATCAGATTATATACCTATAATCTCAGCACTTGGGAAACTGAGACTGGGAGGATTGAGGTGAGTTTAGGGCCAGCCTGAACTACATAGCAAGATCAAGTCTCAGAAAACCAAAAAATGAAATAAAAAAATGAAAGATCATATTAAAGCAAACAGGAAATAAGCAATATTGAATTGTAAAATATCTCAGCTGTACATACAGATGTACACATACATAAATGAAACATAACTCATGTATACATAGAAGTTATATGTAAACTATATAAATTTACATTTCTGTGTATTATATCAAGTCTTAAAAAAAAAAAAAAGCGTGGAGAGTCACTCAAAGAGCCGAAAGGGAACCACAGTCATACTTGCTTAGATTTGAACCCATTGGCTACAAGTGGGCTGAATGAAGGAGTTCGCTGATTTAGATGGCTGAAGAAAAGTTTACTTCACTTAATGAGATACAGATGCTTGTGATTAGATGTGGTAGTGTTCTTTTGGCCTCTTCCAGTCCTTCATTAAACTTTTCCCCTGAGTGTATATAATCCTGACCCTAGTGTCATAGTACCCTTGGGCTGGTAGGTTTATTTTTCCAGCCTAGGCTCCGATTTTCACCACCAAAGTAGACTACAGTAATATCTGTCTTCTCCCTCTCCAAGCTGTTGTCCTCCCTGTTGCCAGAAAGACCTAAGGCAGAATACACTTTCATGTTCTCTTTGTGGGTGTTCATAGGGCCATGAAGTAATGGGAGAATTGTGCTTTATATCCCAGTATCACCTGTGGTAGCTGGGCTTCAAAAATGGCTGCTGTGAGCCTTGCCTCCTGATAGCAGGCTCCATGTCCCACATTGAGTTGGGCTGGGCATTACTTGCTTTAGCCAAGGACTGTGGCGGAAATGATTTTCTTCCAGTTGTAGACCTCAACCTTTTCTGGGAATCCCTGAGTTGCCTCATAGGAAGTGTACCTACATGTAGGCCAGACGTGGTGGCCCACACCCGTAATCCCAGTGCCTAGGGAGGCTAAGGCAGAAGGATCGGAAGTTTGAGTCAAAGTAAAAAATAAAAAGGGCTGGGTTGTAGCTCAGTATATAGCATTTATCTACCAGGTGTGAGGTCCTTGGGTCCCATCTTCAATACTGGGGGACAAAAAATTCACCTACTCTGTGAGATACTTGGAGAGGGACAGCAACTCAGCCTCCCCAGCTGTCCCACCAAGATCCTGTCACTATCTTGTTGGTGGCCATATGAGATTCCCAAGTGAGACAAGAAGAATCCCCTAGTTGTTCCCTGTGTACCCATAGAATTATGAAACATAGCTGGGGAGATAGCTCAGTGGCATAAGTGCCTGCTTGGAAAGCACAAGATGCTGAGTTTGATCCCCAGTACCAAAAAAAAAAAAAAAAAAAAAAAAGAAAAAGAAAAAAAGAATGTATTGTGCATTTATGTCATTAATCTTAGGGCTGATTTGGTGTGGAGCAGTAAATATGAGTCAAGTAATCAAAACTGAGTTCAAACTCCAGTTCCCCTACTAATTTACAGCATGACCGCGTATCTTTCTCCTGAATAGGGTGGAATTGCAGGGGTACACCACTGTGACTGGCAGTTCTCGCTTGATAGGGAGAGGGCTGAGACAGGGTCCTGCTATTTAGTCTGTTAGCCTTGAACTCACTGTGTAGCCCAGGCTGACCTTCAAATCACAACTATCCTCCTGCCTCAGCCTCCTGAGTAGTGAGATTAATCCTATAATCCTATAATTATAATCCTATAATTAATCCTATAATCCCACCATCATGCCTGGCTAATTTTTACTTTTTTTTTTTCTTTTTAATCTTTTTAGACAGGGTCTCACTGTGTAGTTCAGGTTGGTTTTGAGCTCACTTTGTATCCCAGGCTGGTCTTGAAATTGCAGTAATCCTCCTGCCTCAACCTCCTGAGTGGTGGGATTATAGGCGTGCACCACCACAACAGGCAGTTTTTAAGTTTTTAAAGCATGGTAGCCAGGTGTGAGTCAAGAGGACTAAGTTTGAGGTCAAGCTATGTAAATTAGCAAAATCCTGACTTAAAAAGGGGTGGGAGGACGCAACCCCATTACTGGAAATTTAAATAAATGAGTAGTGGTTTTAAAAAAAGTCTTAAGAATATGTGATAGAGACTATGTGGCCCACATAATCCAAAATATTTCCTGCCTGACCTCTTACAGAAGGTTGCCAGTGCCGCTCTGAGATGTTCAGTTTATCTTTGCTAGGGTCTGGAGAATGGGGCAGACATGAACATAGTTCTTGGAGAAAGGAAAACCAGGTGTGGTCGCACAGGCCTATAATCCCAGTACTTCAGGAGGCTGAGACCGGGAGGATCACTCAAGTTTGAGGCCAGCCTGGGTAACAGTGAGTTCAAAGCCAGTTGACTTATTAATAAGACCTTTGTCTCAAAACAACAGCAACAAAAATCCCCAAAAACAACCAAAAAGAAAAACTCATGGAAAAGAAATATAACTGTCTAAGGAAATAGATGCAGCAGAGAAAATTAGCAAATTGGAAGATAAGTCTAACTAGTTTTATCTGTTAATGCAATGGAGAGAGATGAGGGAGTGAAGGAGTGACTGGGAGACATAGAATGTGGAATGAAAGGTTCTAACATCTACTTTGAAAACCCACGATGCTGGGCAAGGGAGATAGCTCAGCAGTCTAAGCACCTGCCTGGAAAGAGCAAGGACACGGGTTTGATCCCCTGTACCACATGCCATGTGGGGAGGCTAAGACAGGAGGATCACTGTGGGTCTGAGTTGTGTAACAATACGCTATACTTGAATAAATAAAAAAGATTAAAGAAAAAAAAAAGAGGAAGAAAGAAAACTCAGAAGGCAAAGGGAAAGAGGGAGGTGCAATAATGCAGTTTCCCTAGAACCAAACAAAAGTATGGCTGCAAAGGTACAGGAAGTTCATTTCTTAAATGAGAAGGAGTCCACATTTTACACATAATGAAACCCCAGCCCCATACCCAGGGTGCAC